CACTAGAAATTTAAGTATTAAAGGCTACGGGTTGACGTCATAAGTCATTTGGCAATGCTTACAGCGTAGCGATCACGTAGCAGTTTCGATGGAAATAAATCAGCGAATAGTTTGTGTGGATTTTTAAGGATTGTTTTTCACTTCGCTAGTTTTTTACAGCTGTTATTTACCACTCGTTTGGCCATTGCATCGATCGATTCTACGATGGGAGGTTTTTAGTTCAATTCGTTGAGGTTCACGCACCGGTAAACTTTTCATTTGAAGTCGAAAGTTGAATACTAATCAGGTTTACGCTTTAACTCCAGAAAAATATGATGTAGTGGTCCCTGTGAGTAGATTTCCACAAACGTGTGAGTCAGCACGGTTTCCTTCAAACCTGCATTGTATCGATCGATCGTTTAGTAAAGTGTTCACATCAGAATTGCGTTGCAGTTCGATCGAACAATCTTTGCTACCGGGTGATTGTAATCATGTTTAAACGTAGTTAAACTGAAATAAAAGCTAGCTGTCTGTAGTAGTGAAAATACTCTATCAGATCGTCTCGCCTAGAATCGCTATATTCCAAAGGAAAAAGAGAAAGGCATTGCGAGGTTTCGATCCTCGGCTCTTTGGCTTATGAGGCCAACGCGATAACCACTTCGCCACAATGCCTGTTGTGAAAACTAGACTGAAAGGTTAAGTTAAAAACCGGTGACGAAAAGTCTTGAATGTGTAACGAAATAAACCATCGCTATAAAAATGAAAACGGAGAGTTTAGAATACAGATCGACGGCTAATTCTGGAAGTTGTCTCGGTCTAGGCAACGTGTGTAGTTTAGAAGTTAGTTCCAAAGACTTTAAAATACTGAAAAGATGCTACTGATATATATTATGCAAGATTAAACTGTAAGAGATTGCCGTCACGCAATTCTTGATTTCACGATCGATGTTCGCTGTCTATAAAAAGTGTTATCAGCCATAACGTAGCCCCGGTAATAACCTCCGTGAGTGAATCATTGTAAAATAAACGGGTCATTTTAAAACAGCTAGCCTTTAGACTGCTAATAAATCCTTATGTGTTTAAAATTGCAAAGTTTGGACTCGCTGTAACTGCGCGTGACCTCCTGTGAGGTCAAAAACTATTAAAGTTTCACGATCGATGTTCGCTCTCTATAGTGCTACAAAAAAGGTGTTATTAGCGATAACGTAGCCCTGTGAGTGAATCATTGTAAAATAAACGTGTCGTTTAAAAAGTTTGCATTTAAACTGCTAATAAATCCTTGTGTGTTTAAAATTGCAAAGTTTAGACTCGCTGTAACAGTACGTGACCTCCTGTGAAGGTAAAAACTATAAGAGATTCCAATCCTATTAAATTCGCAAAATAAATCAGGACAGAACACGTAGCTGCGTTTTGAAAACTCTTTATTACACAAGTCATTGACAGTTACTTTTCTAACCTACGGAATGTAGTACAGCTTCAGTGAAAAAGTTGCTTTTGAAAGCTATAAAACTTTTCTCTGTCTAATGTAACAGGCAAAAAATGCTAATGTTTTTTTTATTCATAAACAATCTTCGGTCCAAAGCTACGTCCTCTAGCATATACATGTCGTCTAGCCCTGGTGTTTAGCTGGTTTGCATTAAAAGTAAACTGTTCCTCATCAGAGCTACACTGTTGTTCATCAGAGTTAAACGGGACCTCCTCGCAGTTAATCGGGTTCTCCCTGAAATTTTCTCTGGTCGGTGATACAACGGACGTAGGTTTATTGATGTTCTGTTTCACTGTCTTCTTTTGAGGTTGTTTTCGCCGTTTGCTCTTGACGTTTTGTTTCACAGGATTCGCCTTGATTGTCCCTATTTTTTTCTGCTTCTGTTCAGATTGCTTTCGGTGTTTGTTTTTCACTAACGGTGGATCTATGGGACGTTTTCGAGATACCAGTTCAGGTTTATCTGCCTCCGATACTGTTTTAGTACAAGTGGTTATGTTAGGATAACAGTGGCAGTTTTCAAACACCTCGGCCACAACTTGTTTCTCTGTTGGAGTCTTGGGTTGATTGTCCACCAAAAGATACCCATAAGGCTTTTCGGTTTCTTTCGCATAGACTTTCATAAAGTTTGACCTGTCTTTCGTAAAAATCCGCTCCGCCACCATGTCGATTTGCTTACGATCACTGGGACTACGAAAGAGGACCATATACTGAGCATTCCTGCTGATATCAGTGTTGAATTTTCCTTTGGGAAACATATTTTGCAGCAATAATATCACACTCGCATTGCGATGTCTCCCTTGAGTAAATAACAGCGAAAGTAGTGGACTATCTGTGGCCTGGCTCATGAGGTCATCAAACACCAACACATTGTGAAACTTTGGATTGATTTCTCTTAGATCTTCGCTCAGGTCTGGTAAACCTTGGGCAAACTCTATCTCATCACCCAGCGTTCTTTGCAAAGTTGCATAGCAACGTTGCCATTGGTTATAAAACCAGTAAATACGTGTAGATTTCTTGCTAGGGTACTTGATACAATTCTTTGTTAGCAGCTGTTCAACAAAATATGTTTTCCCGCATTGAGTCGGGCCTACTACCAGCATCGAGAACATGTGATTAAACTTAAAGTCCGGATAGGGTGTCATCTGTAAACACGGCCTTGCTTCGATCTTGGCTACTTTTCGTGGTTGCTGTTTAGTACCTTGATGCCCACTGGGTTGCTGTAATTGTGGGTTCATGCTCATAGGATATTGTGGCAGTCCTTGTAAAATTGGATGTGTATACAGCCCTTGAGGATGAACTCTTGGTGAAAACGAGGGAGGCAATTGATGAGAAAATAACGCTGCCTTTAATAGCGGTTGTCGTTCCTCACTCGATAACTTATGCACTTGACGTAAATGATCTGCTAAGTAAAGCAAATCCTGTCTATAACAAATAGGACACATGCGTCTGAACTTGTAGGGCATGTTAACGCAATGAAAACTTAACACACAATGATCGTAACACAAGAGTGCTCGTTGTCTATTTATAGTATTCGGGTCGATGTAGGTCGATGTAGGCCGGTATAGGACGATGTAGGCCGGTATAGGACGATGTAGGCCGATATAGGACGATGTAGGCCGGTATAGGCCGATGTAGGCCGATGTAGGTCGATGTAGGCCGATGAAACCACAATGGCTTTACACTGCTTAGAACTTTACGATAGTGACACACATTTTATTCCAATTTTATTTGCAGACTTTTTCCGCACGTTACAAAATATGTTGCAGACTTTTTCAACACGTTACGAAATTAACTTGCAGGCTTTTTCAACATGTTACGAAATTAACTTGCAGAGTTTTACTGCAATCTTTTTTACTCCTCATAGAAAGAAATCTTCATCAGCAGTCCTTGATCCAGGTTTTGTTTCATGGTTAGTTGGTCAGCTAAGGCTTCTGAGATTTTGTCCATGATGTTATAAGACCATTGGTCAGGGGTACATTCACACGAGTAGGTCACCTCAACATGTTCTCTGGAGGAGGCTTCTATTTTGATGAGAGAGGTCTGGGGTGTTTTTCTTTTCTCAAGGATGGCATTCAGGCCTTGATACAATGGGTAGACGACTTCAAACACTAAGTTGCGTTCCCCTTGTTTGCTAGGTGTCTGTCGCTTTAGATCTACCACATACAAATCTGTGTCTCCAATTTTGGTATAAGTGGCTTTAAACTTTGGATAATCCAGAGCCAATTCCATCCAGGAGAGTTTATCCTCGTTCTTAGCCTCACGTTCTCTCTGCTCACGTTCAGCTTGCATTTCCTCTAGATCTCTATCCCATTCACGCTGTTCTGCGGGAGTCCAATCGTCATACCCTCCTATCCACATGATGATTTGTGATAAATGATAGATAGAATAGCACACCCCTTTCTCTTATACCTCACCTCAGGCTATAAATAGAATGGATTTGTGTCTATCATTATCAGTTGTACGTTCGATTACCTAGAGGTAACATGTCTGTTATGGGTGGTTCTGTAGAAGCACTTTCTACCAAGACTGGTAATGAACCCACCGAAAAAACCATGCCTGCCAAGACCAGGTTGAAGGGTTATCGACAAAAACTGATGACGATCAAAGCTAGAATCAAGTATCGAGAGCATACCCTCAAAGGGTTCAAAAAACATCTCAAGAATGGTACGTTTCCGCAAAGAATGAAATCTATAAAACCATACCCAAAAATGAGTTCTCCCGAAGCTCAAGCTATCGTCAATGCTGCCTGTGATCAAGTGCAAAGTGTCATTTTGGATCAAATGATTCAAGAAGAAGAGAAGAAACTCTCTCAAGATCAAGACAGTTATCAAACTATGAGGAAGCAACGGGAAGGTGATCGTCAGCAGCTCAAGGCCCCTAAAAAAACCAAGAAACCTACTGTGGCTCAACTCCAGCAAGAGCTCGCAGACTTGCAGTCAAAATATACCCAACTTTGTAGTAAATTAGAAAACAGTCAGTGAATAAAACACAGTCAGTTGAAATGTATAAACAATGTGTGATTTATTTACCTTATATAGCAAATGACGTACCTAGTGAAATTACAATGCTGTGAAAGTAAGCTGCCCTTGTTTATACTTGGCCTTTAACTTCAGAGAATATGTTTTACCTACAATCAAAGTCTCTGCTTCAGCGTAGACAACCACTACTTCCCATTCGCTCTCTGGGTTTCTTGTTACTTGTGGGTGTAAATGGTCCACTATGTGCAGGCGCTGTACTAACGTAGTGTTTGTGCGAACTGCGAATCGCTGTAATCCCTCTCTCATCTTGCCCCTTGTATGTCCCTTACACTGTGTTTTCTAAAATATGCTTGAAATAACCAATCACAGCTGCTGCTTTGGGATCCACGTTTGTTACACAATCTGAGTCCACGAAGGTGCGATTCCTGTTCCATTTGTTTTCTACAAAGAAGTACGATTCTATGTGTGTTTGACCACAAAGGCTGACGTTATGTTCGCCGTGTTCAATGGGTCTGGATTCCGCAAATTGCCACTCGTTCTTGAAGTTCTTCTCTTCACTTAAATGTTGCGAATGAAGATACAAATTTACCTCTCGCTCTCTACAAATACGTCCATGCACACGACGCATGTGATCTTGTCTTGCATTTTGTCATGTAAACGTGGCATTGCAGTACCAGCAGTCAAAGCAAGGTTTTTCATCACCATGAGCGGTCTTCATGTGTAGGGTTGAGCAGTTGTCAATACCTTATCACAAATCATACATGGAAAACGCAATGGGTTGTTCGAATGTTGCTTGCTGTCTTACACGTCGTAACATAACGTGTTTGTATCCAAAAGTTAAGTAACACTCTGGGCATTTCACTCGATTTTCTGTTGTACCGCATCTCTTTTTATGTTGAAAGAAATGGCCTTTGCTAAAACTCTACCTACAAGTAGGACAAGGTCTAGGATACGTTATCTTTTGCATCGTCGTTATTAGCACAAAGACGTAGTGAGTTGAAAAGGGAAAACTGCCTAGCACTTGTACTCAAAAGTGATCCCCAGAGATTTTCTGTATGCTTGGGTCATGTATTGTTTGTTACCATCACGTTCACTGGGCAGGTCTGGACAAGTCTTTTGTATTTACACCCAATGACGTCAACGGCTTTTGTTGTCATGGATTAATGGAATGACGTCAATCTATTGTTGTGTCCGTTAATTACATGATGACGCCAGTCGGTATTGTTCTCGTGGATCAGTATGATAACTAATTTAAATTCCATACACGGTGCTTGTAATTGTGTCATCAACCAGCTATAACTTAACCAATCAAAGAGGGCTAACATGGTGCGTGCTAAGTTACACGTCCAAGGAAAGAATGCAAAGATGGGAATATTTGTCAACACCCCAAGACATCTTGTTAAAGGCAGAGGTAACGGTTCGACTGCTTGCAATGAAACATAACACAGTGATTTCATAGGGTACCCATGACGTGTAATCCAACGTTGAAGTGCTCGTAATAAAGCATCGCTCATAGACATCAACAAACTTTCATGCCAAGCAGGGACACGTAGTTGTTGAATACACAAATCCAATTGAATTTCCACCACCGAATCGTTATTAGCTACCACACGATCCGCTAATTCTGTTAACTCCACAGAAATCACTGGGTTGTAAAGGTCATAGCAATGAGAGCTAGTCAGACATTTGTCTTGCCAGTATGAAAATTGTCCCAAATCTTGCATAAATACTGTCTGCGTTGTCACTGCTGTTTAATACGTTCGCTAAAATCATTCTGCCTTTTTATGCCTGAAAAACGCTGAGTCGGCAACTCCATCTCACTAGGATCCAGACCCTCGCAATCTCTGTTAGAGTGGGAGGGGAGGGGTTAGGGGAAGAGAGTGTTTTTAGGGCAAGGGAGTGGGGTTAGGGCAATCTAGCTCTGTTTCAGAGATAAGTAGTCAGGTAATCAATCACACAGAAATAATCCTTACACACGTTTATTGAATCAATAACCTAGCGTACAAATCTCTAGGCAAAAATGCTAACTTAAAAAGTCTTAGGAGGCCTAGTTCAAGTGTGTTGGCCTATCCAATCATAACCATAAGGTTTGCTGCTACAATCCCTTGTTTGAATCACCCGCTTTTCAAAGACAAGCCGATAATTCTTGACTTTAGGGGTTAGACAGATTTTCTTGGTGGTCCTATTGGTGTCCATATTCACGCTTACAGGTACCGCAATAGGTTGTGGTGCATTCCCAGGGTTTTTGATCGCAGCTAAAATGTGACTTTTCATGGAATCAAAATTCAACAGAGCCCTGCCCTGCTCATCCTGAGTAAAACCGCGTATTTTGCATTCTGTTTCACCATTTTGTAGCATGAAAGTGTAGTTTTTTGGACCCCCCGTCGCAAACTCCTGTATGGGTACGCCAGCGGTTTCGTCTTTCATCTGACCCAAAAACGGACCAGTCTCCACTGCAGGTAAACCGTTACGCCAAAGATAAATGATGCTGTCTGTATCAAAATATAGAACTTGATCCTTCAACTGTTCCAAATACTTGTACAACTCTAAGCGAGCCCATGACGTGGTGAAACTTGCGATAAAAATGTTGGTTTTATTGCTTGGAATGACCTCTTCTACAGCTTTACTGACATCAATTTCTACTATATCATCAGTGCATATTCGTATGTCGTGAATGTTGTTACCAGCATCTTCTATTATTGCATATAGCTCTGCAGGACTTGTGACGGTAAAGGTTTGAGTCTTGTTGGGTTTCTCGCCGAATTTGCCCCAGAAGCTGAAAATACAAAGAGGGAAACAAATCAAACAATGATTATTTGAAGATCTTTGTCCTATCTTTTCATTCTAATTCTAATTACCTGTTGAGCATAAGTTTCGCCACTTGTTTCCATCCCCCGTTTTTGGTCACTTTTGCAGGCTCTAGCTGAACCCCTTCACGGTCATAGTAAGCATTGATGTACTCTGACTTTGCTGCCTCTGTGGTACAATTCTTGGGCCAACCCGATGCTTCAGTTTTATTTTTGAGCCATTTATTTACATAGTCTGCAAACAAGCCCTCTTTGCGCTGATTTTCAGAAAAATGCCACACCTCGTGAATTTTTAGGATCTTGTAACCAAGGTCCACAGCTTTCTGCAACTCGGGTGTGCACCAAGTGCCCGTTATACAGCGTTCCTCTGCAGTGTGGGTGCAAACCGCTGTACGAGTCAACCATTGTTTTTCCAATTCTTCCTTTACACATTGTGTACATAGAGGAAACATGAGTTTGCCACCAATGTGGACGGGGAGTACTGGATGATACAAATGGGGTGGTGGGAGAATCTTGACTTTTGCTATGCCAAAGTAGCTGCCAATATCTTGATTTGTTGGATTGACCAAAATCTCGGGGTGACCCACTGGATACGTTTTTGTTTTGTTGACGTACGGGTAAAGCGAATTGATGTCTACATAGCGAATTTCTTCTCCTGCTGCTGCAACACAATGTAAACGCACTCCATTGGTTCTACCACCAAAGAAGCTATCTCTAGGGTTCAATGGCCCAGACAGCTGAAAGGTCGTCAAAAATTCCATGAGAGTGGGGTTTGTCTTCTTCTCAATCTCAAAATCATGCTCCCATTTCTCAATCACCGTATAGCCTGCTTGACGTAACTTCTGTGTCTTTTTACAGGTGGCTTCATAGATTTCTGAGATGGTACGATCTGGATGACAATTGTGTTTCCTGTAGCGATGGTTTGGGAAACATTTAACACACCCATGATAAAAGCAACCATGAAATTCATAGACCGTTTTGGTAGTTTCGTCATAGCCATCGACAAACAGAGCCTCGCCTTGTGTGATCACCTTTTGCTCTCCCCCGTTGCGGACATGGCGTAGTTTATTTTCTCCTAGTTTAAAATCTTCAAAACATAACCATTCTAGTGCTGCTGTACTTTGATTCACATTAGCACCACACCAGCCATTCAATGGTTCTATGGCAATGGTATCCTTGGGGATAAGATCTCTTCGCCAGAATAAATTGCATGCAGAAGCAATGGTGGCACATTTTTCTATAGCATTAAACCCTGCTTCCTCTTTAAATTCTTGTATAAACTTCAGACAGGCAGCTTTCAAGACCATTACATCAGAATGGCAGTACTTGTTTAACTCCTCCCAGAGGATATATTCTTCATTCCTTGCCAATTCAGTCGCGTACCAAGTGTCAAACTCTTTTCGTTTCTTTTGCTTCATTGCTTGTGGCTGAAAATAGTGTCTTGCCGGTAGACGACCCCTGTAAGTTAAACTCTCTCTTGTATGAAACGCATGCGGAAAGAAACCTTTATGAAGCTCGACGAAATTGAATGTTTCAGGCAACTCGGCCAGTGGCATTGGGAGAAAACAAAGTGAATCTTTGAAGGTAATCATGGCGTCCAGATACCAGTAATGAAACTTCAGGGTTTTGGCGCCCGTCGTCAGCTGGTTTTCCACCTTAATACCCTTACGGTAAAGTTCCTCGATGATAAAGTTGCTATCAAAACCCTTGAGGTTGTGAAAAATGATAAATAAATCGCGCTGTTTGTCTCCCACTTCTGTTAGTTGATTCATGGCTTGAATGAACTGTTCAATGCAGGTTTCGCCACTAAAGGCATGAGAAACATTGTGTGGATCTTCTTCAGTAGCATATCGAATCAAATCTGCTATGAATAACTGCTTTCCCTGCTCTGTGGGTTTTATCAAACATTCGATGTCAGCAAACACCATGAGAGGTGGTAGCTTCTTTTCCTCGTCATCATTATCATCATCGTGTTCCTCATCGTCTGCCTCTTCAACACGTTGGATGTAACATTTGTGATTGTATATTTCAACAAATTCATGGCAGTGACGGCAAGTGTCGTGGTAGCATTTGTGTTGCTGCTTTGGATTCATTTTATAAACTTTACAGCATTTTAGACACTTCTTTAGTTTCTGACAAAGACTGACTTTTTTCTTGCCTTTTGGTTCTTTATGGGCTTTGAAACAGTCTGGATCATAGAAATCACGCTGGCAGTCTTTGCAGTGAATGATACGTTTCTTGCCTGGGGAAAAATCTGGGCAGCCTCCTTTATTTTTCTGAGAACGTGTGCGCTGACAACTAGTGCAATTACGACCTCTACAAGAATGGTTTGCTGCGTCGTCTACATCATACCCTTTACAGCAATCAGGGCAAAAGTAGGACCGATTCAAAAAAGCAATCATGCTTCTTAAACCATTGTAGTGATTCTCGTGTTTAAGCAAATAAATGACTTTGCTGTGCTGATCCACTTTGCCTTGAAAAAGACAGGCACAAGAGACGTAATCTACCACGATGATTTTGTAGCCTTGGGGTCCTAGAAACGCTTGAAATTTTTCTAGTTCCTCATAACCACACGGGCCTTCTGGTACACCCGCGTCTTGGTGAAGCTGCTTAGCTAGGCGTTCCTGAATAGGTCTACCTCTTCGTAGATTATCATATTGCTTGTCACGATCGCCATCCACGTACTCTTTCATCGTTATGATTGCACGGGCGCAACATAAGTCATCTGTGTTTTTGATCTTGATCATAGAGTCTTTCTTTTTGTGCATCAAATCAAAGGGTAATCTGTTTGGATTTTTAGAAGCTCTACCTTTGCCTCCTTTGTCAGGGTAGGTGATAAATGTGAGAGTGGCATTGAACCCAATGGCTGGATTCATATTTTGAGCGCTATTCATTTTTCTTGCCAGTGACTCGAACATAGCATGTACATAATCACCACGTTTCACAAACTCTTGGACTGGGATGCCATATTTTACGTGGAATAAATATCCCGAATTTACAGTGCCGTTGGAATGTTCCTTTGAGGTTAAAGTCAGATGAACTTTTGTTGAATCCTGCAGGTTTTCGTTTAGGATCGTGTTCCTTACCGCTTCAAACAGGGACTCTGACAAACCCTCTCCCAATGATTCCTCTTCTGTGGGTTTACGTAACTGATCAAACGTGACGGAAAATTGTTCTTTCTTGACTGCACCCTTCAAACCCTGCCGTTTGTATGGTAGAAACGTGAGATTGGCTTTGAACAAAGGATTCTCAGACAGCTCTAAACGATTGGCTCTCTCTACCAAAAAGTCGTCACTGCCATCATCCAACTGGTGAGACATGTCCATGTCGTCTTCTAATTTTCTTTTAACTGCCCGTGTTTCGTCTTTCATAGGTTTTAGGTCCTCCTTTACACTCTCGGGGTCTTTTTTCATACTTCGAGTACTCACAGCGCCACCCTGCTGACTTTCATCACTGACTAGTGTTGGAACTTTGTCTGAATGCAATAACTCAAGGCGTAATAGTTCAGCCGACTCTTCTGCTTTTCGCTTTCCTGCTTCGGAATGGACCTTACGAACATGTTTCTTCAAATCGTCTTTTCTTGAGTATGTCTTATGACAGTGTAGACATTGAACGCGATGCTCTGAAGTCCCACAACGTTTCTTATGACGAAAGAAATTTCCCCTGTTCTTGATTGTCTTCCCGCATGTAGGACAAGCTCGTGGATACGTTGCTTTGCACATGATCGATCTTTACACAAGAACACAATGATCTCAAATGATTTTTCATGGTTGGTATCCGTCTTTTATACCTGTTCTAGTCAAAATAATGACGTCATCGTCTAAAAATAGAAACAATTTCTGCTGAATCAGCAAATGGTGGGTGACGTCACTATGGTCTCTCGAACTTTAACCTGTTTCATTACTATATCCACTCAACTGTAACTTCAAGCGAGGATAAGTTACCACAGCCCTCGACTGATTTAGCCCTAAACACTGCCCTCGACTGATTTAGCCCTAAGCTCTTCACTCGACTGATTAAGCCCAAAGCACTGCGCTCGACTGATTTAACCCTAAGCACTGCACTCGACTGATTTAACCCTAAGCACTGCACTCGACTGATTTAGCCCTAAACACTGCCCTCGACTGATTTAGCCCTAAGCACTGCACTCGACTGATTTAGCCCTAAGCACTGCGCTCAACTGATTTAACCCTAAGCACTGCACTCGACTGATTTAACCCTAAGTGCTGCACTTGACTGATTTAACCCTAAGCACTGCGCTCGACTTATTAGGGTAAGGCAATTCGCCCAAAATTGGTTCGCCACCTTCTTTTTTGTCATAATCATTCCCTTCGCTGTCATAGTAACGGATGTTGCGATTAGGGTGTCCGCTATGGTGTCCGCTGTTGACTTTCATCATTCCAAAATTAGAAGGGTTTGTATGGCGACTAACCTCATTTACATAACAATGTGCTGTAAACAGACTAGTATTACTGCTCCGGTCTGTTGTTTTCGTTGGGCCAGCTAATTTCTTTTGAAGGGGGCGTCCGTCTAACTAAGTGTCCTGCTGTTGCACAGACACAGGGCTATCATCTGGTATGCATTTGGGGTAGCCTGGTTAAATTGCAGGGGGTGGGGTTGTTCTAAAGACTATGCTTTGTGCTAGAGTGCGGATTTGCTGAGTTTTTGTACCGGGGCTTAGCGCTGTCTTTCAAAGCTCAATGACTCCCTCAAGTTGGAAGGGTTTGTGTCTGACAGGGTGTTATGTTGTTGCACAGACACAGGGCTATCATCTAGGACGCATTTAGGGTAGCCTGGTTAAATTCAAGAGGAGTGGGGTTGTTCTAAGGACTATGCTTTGTGATAGAATGCAGATTTGTTGAGTTTTTTACCGGGGCTTACCCCTGTCTTTCAAAGGTCAGTGTCTCTCTCAAATTGAAAGGGTTTTGTGTCTAGCTGGGTGTCATTTTGTTGCACAGACACAGGGCTATCAACTGGTATGCACTGGGGTAGCCTGGTTAAATTCCAGGGGGTGGGGTTGTTGTAAAGTTTGATGTGTTTTCGCACTGTTATGCAGTTTGTTTGTGCTGTTTGCATCCAGGCAATGACCCACTCTGTTGATAACGTTGCTAGTCAGCAAGCAGTTAAACTGGTGGTTGTAGGACTTGGTTTTGTTGAGCAGTGTTGGTTTAGATTGTTTTTGGGATACCAGTTGCAATGAAAAATGGGGTGAACTGGGAAAATGGCTTTGCAATCGGTGACGCGAACACTAAAAATTGTCCCTTAAAATGCCCTATTTTCCAGACTAATGAGGAAAGCCTCACTTTTGTTACCTTCAAGGCAGACGATTCTATCAAATAAAAGTTCACGTATTGAATAATTTTTTTTTTTTGAGGTGAGATTTTACTTTTCAAGAAACAAGGGCCATTAAATTACCAATCAGTGCGAGAGACTGACATGTTTTAGTAGCCGGTTTTTTAAAAAAAACCATATATATATCATATGAGACACTGGCACGCACTGTCCCATTTACTTCATTTTGTCCGACACGAAGGACGCTTGGCTACTATCGGTAGAACCCGAGTTACTCGCTCCATGGCACGCGCTGCAAACTAGTAGCTCTATCTATAGCGTGATGTCACCAGGATGGTCATTGGCACTGGTCCACCTAGTAGGCTCAGGATGACGGCAGGACCTAGGCCAACCCTCCAGCTATTGAGGTTTTGTGTTTCTCTTATTTCAGTCTCCTTGTTTGGTCGGTTTTCGTCTTTTCAGGTTTACGGAGTTGTCGAAAATCTTCGTTTACGAGGTTTTGGTTCGCATTTTGTTCACCTCCTGTGACAGTCAAAGTATTGTTTTTCCCTGTAAACTCAATTGCGGGCGGCAGTATTGCCAGTTTGTGTTCAAACTATATGAGATCGGCGCAATCTAAAATTTTTATTACGCCTATGTGGCGGCGAAAAAGAAAAAAAAGGAGAAGAAGACGTTTTGTTGCCTGTGTGGCTGTAAGCTTGTTGTATTACGCCTGTGGGGCGTATTACGCCACGTGTTGCAATAAAGAATAATGCATTACTCTCTTCTCTTAAGCTTTTGCGTGTGCTTGCGTATGAGTTTCTCTTGTTTTCCCGATCCAGGGTGAGTAGCTAGCGTGGTCCTACTTCATCTCTAAGTGATTCGCGGACGTTCTGTTATCAGTCGTGTTGCTGCCCCCTCCTGGTTGGGAACTCTGCCTATTTTATTTTTTTCTTTTCCGGGTTGTTTCTTTGTTGTGGGATCTCTCCTTATTTCCGTTCCCCTTCTCTTAGGTTAACCAAGAAAGCGAATAATGAAGCGGAAAACGGAAACGGAAGTGGGTTTAGGGTTTGTCAAACACTTCCTGTATTTGCAATCTAAGACACTCCGATAGTGGGTTAGTGTAGATGGAGTTCCCGACTGGGAGGGAAACGAGAGTTGAATGTGTATTGGAAACACGTTTTTCTTGTCGGACGTTTTACCTTTGTTTTGGGCGTTAAGGTTATGGGTCTCTCATGAATTCAAGGCTACTGGCCTCCATATATATAAATAAAGAAAAAAAAATACATGCCTGGGATTGTTTCTTAAGCCATCACCCGTTGGTAGTTGAGATCCTCGGCTGGATCTGTCGTAATGTAGATATTGTACTGTTCTACCGACCGTTCTCCGGTTCGGATTAGTTGCCTTTTGGAATAGGGCTTCGCTTGGTTCCAATCCAGGCTTGATGTTTACTCCGTGGCCTTACACCTACAGCTAGCGAGTGAACACTTTACGCTTCATGGTTTCCGCATAGGGTGGCAATTTTCAATGACTCTTGTGCATCTTCTTCTCTATGAAATTATAAATCTTGCTGGCTGGAAGAGAGGCGACACAGCCTTTCTCTACATCATGTTGAAAGAAGTGATTAACCTGGCAGGTGCGGCTGCCGAGTTGGCAGATCTTTGTTTTGATGTTAATAAGGGCTAAAAACGTTTTGATGCTTTGACGCAACATAGGAAGGAAAAGATGTGTATTATGTAACTTAAAGTGTCGAATCGTGACCAGTTCTTAGTTGGCAATAGTAAAGAAATAATATAACGTACGATGTAAAGGTTGTTCTCATTGGTTTTGGATAGTTGGGATAACGATTGGGAAGAGGGGCTGGTTTCCGGGAGCGTTGTCGCGGTGATTGGGTTCTTATACAATAACGTATGGTTTTGTAGCTTCGGGAAGGTCGGGTTGATTCCCCCAATCCTTATTATAATGCCATGAATAACAATACCCAGGGATGAATATTATACTACTCACGTTCCATCTGAATCGTAAATGTAATCGCTGGGGATTAATTATTGATATGCAAATGAGTATATACAATGGGAAACACTGGCACGCATTGTCCCATTGACTTCACTTTGCCCTTCAAGGGCGATTGCCGACCCACCCGCCTTCCCCTGCGAGTAAGTCGGGTTCCAGATTACCTATATTCAATTCAGTCAGTGTTGGGCTTGTTCCAGGTCAGATTGATTCCCCATACCTTATTATAATGTCATAAATAACAATACCCGGGGATGAATATTATACTAAACCAACTTACACGGTTGAGGTTGTAGTGCCAGACTTCATATTTTCATATTTCTTATTTTTTGCATTATTTTAAGATACTAGACATACATTATAACATATTATTACAAGAACAGAAAAAAGTATAGTACAAATGTCATTAATAATGAATGGTGAATTGTGTGGAGTGGCCAAAATAACTTTAAAGTTTGACACTGCCTCATGGAATTTACTGGTGAAGATGTACAAAATGTAGATTACAAAAATATAGAAGAAATATGAGGCAAAGTGTTACCTACATTCTAATATAAAACAAGAAAGAGTGATAGATGATAGAATCGACCATTAGTAGTAGGCGTCAGCAAATAAATCAAATTACGTTATTAGGTATTTTAAAGAAAGCACGTTTTGTATTACTTTCAAACGTGGTAATAATTACCTTTTTAAAATTCAGATGGAATATTGGCAGCTCCAAAATTATTACTTATCCTTGGCCAGTGAACAATGGGGTTGGTGACAAATCTGTCTTTTCTTTTTTTTTTCCTATGGATCTCAGAATTCTTGCATTTTATAAGATCTCTTCTATCACTGCGATGTCATCTGCAAATTACAGTGTGACCTAATTTTGGGCTACGTTTACTTTTTTGTTGTGGTGATACTGCCTGATGTAGACTTTCTCTGAGCCTGTGATCAGTAAGAATAGAAAAGACCCTCGAACATTGTCTTCACTCCTATCAACGTTCTGGGTGCTCCTTATTCAGTTACAACGTGTGTTGTCCAGTTGCTTGGACCGTTTATGGAAGGAGGAAGCTTTTTGATCTAGAACAGTGCATGCAGAAGCCAGTTAAATACAAATAAAGTAAACGATTTCGATTTTGTTTCGACATTGCTTGGCAGCTGTTCATAAAAACTGCATTAAGGAAAGAAGAATAGAATATGGTTCCGCGTTTGTAAAAAAAGGACAATCCCAACCTTAAAAACTTTACACATCTGGTAGTACGGCCTAAAATTAAAAGATGGTTGAAAGGTGAGAGACTGGGTTGCGGATGGTGATTACGTTAGGTTGATTCTTGTCTAGTACCACTGGTTGGTCGTACGGCTGATGCTCTGCTCTGGCTGGGTAGCTGCAAAAGCAGATTTCAGTTTCTCTGCGCTCTAGTTCCATCTAGCCTTTTTTTCCTGTTGATCCTCTTGTTGATCCCACTAGGGATCTTTGATATCGCAAGATTTGGGGTAATGTAACGCCATTGACCGAAGAGGACTAATATTTTTGGACTTTGCCGCAAGATAAAAAAGTATTTTAGACGGCACCTTCGTGTGCTGCGGAGAAAACATGCATCAACAACAAAGTTGACTGAAAAAAAGGAATTTATCTTTGACAAATAGCGAGTTTTTAAGAACTTTGTAACGTTCTGGGGACATTTTTTAAGGCAATTATAAACAAAGAAAGTCGTATGATCTGTTCTAGTGTCTGCGAGAGCTATTATGCCTTTGATGTTGATGAAATCAGCACAGCCGATGGTTTTGCATAGGTTCGTTCAGAAAAGTAAGACGCACCACGGCTTATCCTTTAAGAGTTTCTCTTGAAAGTCCATTTCATCACAGGCAATTTACATGAAAGAGTGTAATATATCAGTGACTGAGGTTAGGGTTGCCGTTAAATAGCTCTTTGGAATATTCAATCGGCCTTACTGACATTGGCCAACTGTACGTTGCATGTGCTTGGCTTCGCAATGCTAAATCCTGTCTGTTTGTAAATCAAACTTTTTTAACCTAACCCTTCCAGCTTTGAAGAATGCTTTACAAAACTATTTTCTGAAATAAAAAAAAACAGCAGCTTACTGTTAAAGGTGTTTTTACCACCAACCCCACCCATTTCTTACCAACAAACCTCCTAATTCTAAATCAATTTATTTTGTCAATTTAATTGTCTCTTCCCAGAGTTCTGAGCTAAATACTAAATGACTGAGGATTTAAGCAGTGGTCAAAATATCCAAACTCAACAATATATTTCAAGCTTATACAGTGCTCCAAATATACACCTGTTACAAGTTAATAATTAAAGATCTGCTCCTCTCTCTTAAGCTTTAATAAAATAAGGTATATCTCATCTCAAGGCATTTAGAGCTTTCACATCAATCAATCGATCATTGTGTTTTGCTTTCATTCCTGTATTCTCAGAGCCAAGTAAAACTGGGAAATTGGCAAAGATATATTTTTAAAGAAAGTCCTCATGAAAATGAGGACTTTTAAAAAAGCCGCTTTAAGTCCAAAATTAAACAGGATAATAATTGTACATTATAGTGGTGAGTACTAAAGCCAATGCAAGAAAAGGCTTCCGACTGTTATGTTACAGAGAAAAGGACTGTTTTTAAAACTAAAAAACGTTTTAAAGGTTATATGTTTTATTTTCTTGTAATCAGTGCAATTATTTTTGAACAGACAACTTGTCTATTGACATTCCTTTGAAGTATAATACTGTACTTAATGAAAACACTGTTATTGCAGTAAAGCTATTGAACTTTTTATCTAGAGTGTTCTGCCTAAACATAACAATTTTTTCGAATAAAACAATAAAAAATCGACCATTTCTTCCAAAACAATTTTCTTTTTGGATAGTGGATCAACTGGGGTGATAGACATTTGTACAAAAGAAAAATCACGGGCAAAACTGTGCCTGTAACTCACCCTACAAAATCTAGTTTTGCTGCCTTAATGTTCATAAAATAAACAAAATGCATATAAGAACATTTTCCTCCACATCTTTTATCACAAATATTGCCGTGTAGTAAGTTTCAGCAACAAACCCATTAACAGCTGCATCTGTTGCTCCTGTTGTTTGGAGAAATAGCTATTGCTGCTGGTGGTTATTCATCTGCGCGTGACTTGCTAAATCCTTTTCTCTTGTTTTGGGTGCGATTTCTTTTTGGTGCAAGACTTGTTCAGCAAAACGTAGAAAGCTCATGGCAACACATGTGTTCCTTCCAGTTTTCTTTGCTTAAAATTAGCGATCGCCATCGTCGTATCTGTGTTTGTTCCTTCCATGGCTTTTAGTCTGGTATGTTCAAAAACGTTTTAGCTGTGTCTTATTCTTTCCCCATCAAAACAACTTCTGATGGCTCTCTTACCTCAATACCACTGGCGCCTTTTTCTTCTTAATATCTCCTCATAGTAAATTTCACCTGTCTCCTATTCTTCGTTTGTCTTCAAGAAGACAGCTTCTGTAATCTGTTTCCAAATCCTGCCCCTTTGGGAGTTTCGTTTTTTAAAGGAAAACAAAATATTAGCTCTTATTTCTATCAAGCTAGTGTTCAACATGATGTTCTTTAATACATTCAATGAGGGCCCTAGGAATAAAAATTACAAGAATATAAGTATTTCAAACTTATTTTTTGCAAGGTGGCCTATTCAGCCTGAAAAATGGTTTCCAGTGGGGCCCTGTACGTTAATCATTTACTGCAAGACGAAAAAATATACCAGAAATATGAATCACTTCGTCACAACAAATAAGAATGGCATGTTGAGTATCTTATACCACTCTTAGCTAAAGCAGTAGGGGAAAAATATTGCTTCAATATACTCTACACAAGTTAATAACAACCATAATGCTAATATATTAGAATTCATTTTACTCGCTGCAACTAACAGAACCCGGACATGGTATTTGACAAATTCAGCCACTTAATAAACCTATTCGCTAATATTCTGAAAGTATCTTTCATTTCAAACAAAATGCTCTCAGTCAGACTGGGCGATTCCAGTTCTAAGTGCACCTGCAGGGGATACTCTGGCTGTCTCTAGGGCGAGAAACGTAGACATCCTAAAGATTGTCATTTTAATGTGGCAGTTGTGCGTGAGAATCAATTTTTTCTCTGTACTTTTAAAATATCAACGAGCTGATGAGAAGGCTTTTTTGAAATTCAAAGTGAGGTACCTAGCTTACATCGCAGTCTTTTCCTGTCAATGATTTCGTAGGCGATACTCCAGTAACGATTTAAAGGTTTACTCTTTACTTACATACTAAATTTGAAAAAATCGGAATATCACGTAGTCTTGTAGCCATTAAAACTTTAACTCCCCAACTTTATTGTTGTCGATACAACAACCCTAATTGCCATCAGCACTTCTTAAATTATAGTGCCTCTTATTATTGCTGCTTTACCGGGGACGATTTGTCCCTCAGACCTCAGTAACACATAGGTCTGAAAAGATCGTCCTTTGCAAGGTTTTTCTGACTGGCATCTTTCTTTGGTTATTATTCAACTGCTAAATTTCTGTACATACGTTGTGGTTGTTATAACATCATGCAGAGGACAAAAAGAACGTGCCATTTTAATTTCTGTCTTTTCTTCAAGCATGTTTCCTGACAAACGAGCTTTATTTTATGTCTTTGGACTGACCTCTGAAGTGGGCAAACGAGTAATGCTTCTTTCAAGGTATCGTGTCGTCTTACAGTCCATAAAGTCGATGCTGCTTTTTCTTTTGGTATTTTAGGTCTTTTATTTATTGGCCATAAGTGATAAAAATCTTTTAACGTAAGAAATATGCCACGAATATGAATTTCCTTTTCTTTACCAATTAGCCGTTGAAAAAGTTTAAGGTAATCAATACATTAAGTGGTTGGTAAATGTTTGCCTTCAAGATTAAAAAATCTTTCTCGCATAACCGAGTTGTAGCCTAAGCATTTTTGTCACGTTCTTTGAAATGAAATAAAGTAAAATAAAAACTGTGCTTAGGAAAAGAGCTTTTCTGTCATATGATTGTAAAAGAGAACAAAAGCTTGAAAATAGTTCTTAGTCTCTAATGTGCTATAGGGATCCAACCGCTATGGTTTTACTACTTACCTGCTACTTTGGGTAACATAACTCTCTGAACTGCCCGCCTTTTGTGGTCCAGTTTCACAGGCGATACTGTAAGGTGGGTTTGCGGCATGGTCAGGCTCATCCTTGGGGGTAGGATTGATGTGCTCTACCATCAAGAGACGGTCCCACATTTAAACTTCCATGTCCCGGAGCTGGGCGAGGTCGTAGCTTATGTCTGTTGCGGCAGTACTCTAAGCCATGTTCTGCTTGAACTACATAGGACTTTGGTGTCTGATGAAGTCTCACTACCGTTACTGGTTTCTTTTCTGTGGATTAGGTCCAAGGCTGCATTTGCACCTTTGTTCCAAGCTGTAGTTCCTTCATTTTGCTGCTTGTATTTCGGTCAAGGTACATCTTCTGATTCTCTTTGGTCTTCTTCAGGTACCTGGAGACATCCTTTGGTTGACAGTAGCTGGTTGGAGCAAGCTGTAGATAATCGGTAAATCGTTTCTCAGTAGACGTTCAATCAGTAGTTGTGCTGGAGACAGTTCAATGCTTTGTAGTTGTGTTCTTACACCGTAGATTTTTGACAGAATGAATGGCCCTCTTCGCCTCTCTATTGGCCTTTAGGTAGTGCGGCGAGGTTTGACGTGCTTAGAACCATAGTCTTTGGTAAATTCTTGAAATTCGCTGCTGCTGAGTTGGAGGCCATTATTTGAGACCCCTTTTTCTGGTATTCCATGGACTTCAAATTGTCTCTTCAGCTCTTCTACTACAACAATGCTTTTCAAACACTTCATCTCGGTAATATCTGTGAACTTGATGCGATAGCACAAGGAAAGTTAATAGTGTTCCCCTTGAAAATCAAACAGATCAGTTCTATCTTATTCCAAAGAGTTGATGGTGGTACAGCAAATTTCACTGGCTCCGTAGCGTGGTTCTTGGCAAAATCTGGACACACGCTACTATTGGTGACCATTTGCTCCACCTCTAGGGATATTCCAGACCAAAATAGTTCCTCCTTGGCTCTTCGGCTGCATTTGACCATTCCAAGGGACTCCTTTGGATCTGGTGAAACATTTCAGGTACCATAACCTTTGAGACAATCAAGAGTGTTCTTTGAAGAGGAATCCATCAGCTATTGCGACTTTGCAACGGAATGTGCAGTAAGATCTTGTTTCCTTGATTAGGATTGTTTTGGGCTTCGGATGTACTTTGGTCTCGTTCTGGAACTCTTCATACCGCTCCTCTGATACGAACAAGACCATGTTGATAGTCTGGAATTCTTCATAAGCTTCACTATCAACAGTCTGAGCAGATGCTTGCCTCAGAGTGTCTGCAAGGACTTTGAATTTCATCATCATAGTATCAAATCTAGTTTTGCTGCCTTAATGTCCCTAAATAAATTAAACGCAGATAAAACATTTTTCTCCACACCTTTTGTGACAATTATTGCCGTGTCGTAACTTTCTGCAACAAACCCATTACATTCGGTTCTGTTGCTGCAGCTGTTGTTGCGGGGACTGATCACGTATTCCTTGCATTTTCCTGTTTGTAGTAATAGCTGTTGCTGCTGGTAGATATTCATCTACGCATGACTTGCTAAATCGCTTTCTCTTGTTTTGAGTGCCAGTTCTTTTCGGTGCAACACTTGTTCAACTAAACTTTTAATTGTCCAGCCAGAAAATTCGCGGTAACACATGTGTTTCCTCCAGTTTTCTCCTTGCTTGCAACTGGCGAACTCTATCGTCGTATCTGTCTTTTAGTTCTTCTGTGGCTTTTAGTCCCGTATGTTCAAATAAGTTTCTGCCTCATTACCACTGGCGGCTTTTTCTTCTTAATATTTCGTTTGAGTAATTTCACCTGCCTCCTGCCCTTCCTTTGTCTTCCAGAAGACAGTTGTACAGAGTTAAGAGTTTCTGTAGTCTGTTTCTAAATCCAGCCCCTTTGATAGCTTCTGCCGATGGCAAGCCTATAGGTTTTAAATCAGGTTAGTTCTTTTACGCAAATTCTTAATGCTACAACGTCGACAATAAAAGATATGATGTAAATTGACTTATTTACAGCTATTTACAGCAGTATACACTCTAAAAAACTGTTGATCTAAATCACTTTAACCTATCTCATCATCCTTGAAATGTACCTCAATAAAAAGAATTCACAGAGAGGAATAAATTTATGGTCATCTACATGTACTTACGGTCAGATCATATCGACTACAACTTCTTTCTGACTTTTTGTTGTCAACTTTGCCACCGCACCTACCATATGACTGATTTTAACCTAATGATAAACTATTATTGAGTAGTAAGAAGTGTTTTGGCTTTCTTGTGGTTAGTGCGGGAACAAATTTAAGCCGTTTGAGCTAAAGAAGCAAAAAGTTAGTAAGGAAGCAAAAATAATATTTAAATTTTGCATACTTGTTGAATCACCTACGTTTTACTTCGCAGCCAGTTCACTGCCTTATAGGACCAACTCAGCAACAAATAAAAAAGCCAATGTGCTAGTTTTTGCATTCGTCTGAGCTACATGTATCACCCCAGTAAATTTTTACAAAATCTCATTGTGCTGAAATCAAGAAATTCTTGATTCCCCTCCAACACCCTCCTAGTTAAAATCGTGTGTAGTCAAGAACCAAATGGTCCCCATTGCAGGCGCTAGAGAATTGTCCCCTATTACAGGTGTAGAGACCGTAACGATTTTGGTATTTATGGAATCCTGAGAACTGTCCCCCTGAGACAAAAAAGTTCGGTATTATAATTTAAGAAAGCTTTTTAAATTCCCTAAACAGTTATAAAATAAGAAACACTACGTTTAGAGCTAGGCAAATAACTGAAGTTATGAATTTGTGGGTTTGGTTAGTGTTCTGAACAATTTTACATAGCGTCATGCATGGTACTCGACTGAGAGAGGCAGCTGGGTGTTACGTTTAATATTCAAAAATGTTTTAAATAAATTAATGGGCTGTTATCAGCAAATTCAACTTCCGACATCCTCGTCCTTGGTCACAAACTTTTCTCTACGTGCATCAATCACGGAGTAGATTATAAATAGTATATTGTTTGACCATCCCGTCACCAATCATCGTTCTAGAGTAAGGACGTTCGCGCTAAAATTTGTTTTAGTGTTTATCTAAAAACTGAAATGCTGCAAGTGAATATCTGAAATGAAACTTTTTAGCTTTGGTGAAATTATCATGTCTCTAGTAACGAAATATCTCACCATAAGAGACCGGCCACCCCATCCCCTAAAAATGTCTAAAAAACAAACATTATCTTTTAAAAAACAAGGGATGATGTTGATGTTGTTGATGTTCTCCTTTGCTCTCTCGTTCAATACATCACATGATTTGGCACAGCAGCAAGGGTTGCGTGCGTAATGCGAAAAGACCGGCAGCGTACAAACGCGACTGTTCTTTAGCTAAAAAGCCAGAGAAATTTAGCCTTAAAGTCTGGCTTAATAAATTAGACCCTGCACACACAGCCCGATCCTACTTACAGCTCAGTCCTGTTGACTATGATGTTAAGGAACATGGTATCAGCTCGGCAATGTTTGTTTTCCTCCGAGGTCTCTGAAATGAGGAGCTGTTAGCATCAGGCCTGAAACATCGATCACGTGTTCCAAGTTATCTTGATCCAACAACACGAATGTGACTTCTTTCTGAATGGCCAGCGGAGATTGCATCATACTGACCGCGAATGACGGCAAAACACAGAGATGCGTGTTCCTCGGTCCATGCCATCTCCGTTCAAATAAATGAGGGTACGCATTTTGTATCCATAGCGACTGGTGTAGAAACAAGGGCTGTAGAAAGATATTTGCTCCCCGCTGACTGCTTTGTTTCTTCTACGTGCAAACTCACTTATTTTCCACAGCAACTGGCCATCGTAGCTTCCAAACTCTTGTTGCCTCATGTATTGGGCCGACCGGCACCTATTCCAAACAAGGTTTGTGATTGGCTGGGAAAACAATAGGGATAGTTTCGTAACAATGCCCCTGTCCCCGAAAACAATAGGTAGTGTAGGTTATAGGGACCAATGAAATAAGATGTTTGGATGGGGCAGGTTAATCGATGTATCCCTCCAAATCAGCAAAAGTGACGTACCTAAGAGCCAGCGTGTCCTCAATAGACTCACTACACTGCTAGCTGAATCACCAGACGCTTGAGCAGATGGGGTCGCTGCCGTGAGATTCCCTGAGGCCACTTTTCTTTCCAGGGGGTGATTCTTTCGCTGTGCTCTCTACGCCCCTCTTAACTACCTGGTTTTCGTTGTACTGGTTTGAATTTGAGCGAATATGTCACTGATGATACCGTCATGGTTTATGAAGATAATTATGTGGGCTTCTTGATAAGATTCTTGGATCACGAGTCAAAAGTACTTCCTTTTCTCGACTCATCCTAAGGCCATGATGAAGAAGCAATATTCAGTGATAAACATTTTGTCTCTCCAGGAGCTCTTTCTTTTGCCTTGAGTTAAGTCCCTACAAAGAAAATAGTGATTAAAAGGCTAAAAATTATCCAGTTTCAACAACTTTGATTGGATTTTCACCCGGCACTGCCACGGGGACTCCCATATAAAAGTGACGGGGGTTATTGTCGTCTTGCTTAAGCGTGTTAATCGCAGATTTAGGTCTCCCTTAGGGTGTTTGGGACGGAAAGTTGCTTTATTTACTCATTCAGGTATCGCTTAGGACTGTGCATAAAGGAATTTACGAAAAACGTACAAAAAAATGCCGTGATGTCTGTTTTCGGAGTATAGTCTCCTTTAGGGACCAGTTTAAGCTTGACCCCGCACACCTACATTGCTCTCCCTTGGGGGTTTTAAATTTTAATTTTCCGACCAGCATAACAGTCACTTTCATGTGGGAGTTCACCTGGGGATTTTCAGTGACAAGAAAAGAAGATGACTGCCTCAACTTGATGGTCAAGGTATGTCGACCAGTAGCCAGAAGCGTAGGCTCATTTCCCACTGGCGGGAGTACCACGGGCGCATCGAGACACCCACGGCTCGAGTGCGAGCCTACTAGAAGATCGGGCGTGAATTAATATCCCGAGTGGAACAATGGCTCCACACATTGTTACGCCTAATCACAATCCCAGCAATTTTAAACATCTCTTCATTACTGATTATTGACTCAATTGCCTGTTGTAATTTTACTACAACAGAACTTTTTTTGTTTCTTTAACTGAGGAGAATTCTCTAGAAGTGATAAATGTTTATATAAAAAAGAAGGAGGGGTTTTGTTTCAAGGATCTCGTGTACCTCGGTTTATGAGCAGGCAATCTGTGCAAATGGACATGGTCCATGTACCTCCTCACAGTCTCGTACAACTGGATCCTGATGATCTTACAGCTGAAACATAAATAGAATACCATTAATTTAATGTTGAAGGGTAAACTTGACCTAGCCATGACATCCACACCCTGAGCCTACTGCATTTTTTTTAATTCTCAAAAACAATATTCATAAACTATTATATCAGGACACATTGTCAATGGTAAAGTCACTCGCGAAATGAAAGTGCACGTATCCGGAACTAATCCTTTGTATTCAATATTCCTGAAGAATGTTCAGTCGCACTTTCTAATATCTGTCGGACTTTGTATAACACTTATCGCACTTTGTAATAAACTTGAAATGGATAGTCGGCGGACAAGTAAACCCAATGATAGGTATATCGTCAACAACAACAGAAAAACCCTTGTTGAACAAATTGTATCTCAGTCACATTAGTTACCAAAAGATTCCCTCACAAAATTAGCACAACAGGAAGTAAGAAGTGAAAGGTGAAAGGAACTCGAACACAGGGTAGAGCGTATTAAGGAGATGGAACCGAGAAAGCCTCAGTAAGCCTTAGATCTGGGGGCAGAAAAGGGATATCAAAATGGCTTACAGTGCTTCCTTTTCAGAATTTTAGGAATTTGGACTTTAATCTGAATAAGAGGGAGTTACGTGATGCTGTTAAACTCAGTGCAGTACTACTGGCCAGTGGAAGATATCGCCTCCTCATTTGCTGGTGGGGAAGCCTTCACGGTTGATCACTCTATGATTTGCAAACTAGGAGGTTTAACGCTACAATGAGCTAGAGATCTCGAAGCTGAATTCCTGAGTATGCTGTGCAGCGATGTCGCTAATAAAGCTCACGATGCGATGTTAGATATCCACGCACGTGGGTTCTGGGAACGCCATCGATCAGCATTCTTCGATATGAAGATCTGTCACCCTGATGCTGTATCGTATAGAGACCTATAGCCACAATAAATTGTATCATAGTCGCATGATAGTCGTTTAGGACAGCTGATTGCCTCAAAAAAGAGAAGCAGTATGCCAAAACCATCTCATGGATCAGAACCAGAACCTTGTTCGCACTCTTGAGATCTGCATTACTTTGTCTTAGCTCTAGGATAAGAAGAGTGCCATGTGACATTAAGAATGTTGATATTAACTTCGAAGTTATTGAAGGAGCCATTCAATAAGACTATTGATGTGTTTCTTAATCTTTAGTTACGTCTTCTTGTCGGGAAATTGGTACGGAAAATGAACAGCAATAGATATATATCCTGCCTCATGGATCAGAAACTTATCCGTATTATTAGAATCAGCGCATTGACGTCTATGTCATCCACTAAGAGTTTTGACTTTATTTTTTATAACTATGTGATGTTTTGGATTTTTTAATAACGAAGGGGTTTGCCGGAATTTTGGATTTTTATTGATAAAAAAAACGCAAAAACAACAACAATAATAATTATTATCATAATAATAGTAGATAATAATAATAATAGATTTAGATTCTGCCGCATATTTACTTCTCTAGTCTCGGTTTAGCGGGAAATGTGAGCGTTACAAAAAGTCATAAAAATTTTTGGGCCTTCAAGCTAGTGGTCAGTTGTGCTTGAATTACGGCGAATGATCTCAACTTAAAATCAGTGCAATTATTATTGAACAAACAACTTGTCTATTGACATTCCTTTGAAGTATAATACTATACATAATGAAAACACAGTTGTTGTAATAAGGCTATTAAACTTTTTATCTACAGTGTTCTTTCTCAACATAACAAATAATTCAAATAAAACAATAAAAAAATCTACCTTTTCTTCAAAAACAATTTTCTTCATTGATAATGGATCAGGGAGATATAATTTTGTAAATAAAAATCACATGGCAAAACTGCGCCTGTAACTCGACCCTGTAAAGTCTACACTTCACGTCAAATAAGAGACTACAATTTTTTAGGTAATTATAGGCCAGGTTTTTTCTTTATTTGGTTTGCAACGCATGTAGAATAAGTTCTTCTTAGTGATGTTACTGGTCGTGGCTAATGCTTGACCTGAATTTACTGACGGTAATTTTTTATTTCTCGCAAAACTGAGTTCTGTATGATACCTGACACAACGGCAAAGATTCCTGACCAGCTAAAAGCACTTTACCCATCTGCCACTTCGGGTACCATAAGGCTTTAAACTGTCCGCCTTTGGTGATTTTGTGGAAAGGTATTGCCCTGGGGTGGAAGTGCAGGCGATACTTATGAGGTTGCAGCGTGGTCAGGCTTTGCAACCTCGATGAAGCAAACTCCTCTTCGAAAACGTTTTTTTTCCCCGTTTTTATTTGCCTCCTTCTTCGTTTATTATTCAACTACTTGATTCGTTCAAATATCCTGTGGTTGTTATGATATTTTTGCAGGGCACAAAAAAGAATTGTCATTTTCTGGTCTAAGCCTCTGTTTCGATCATGTTTCCACTCAAACTAGCTTTTTTTCTTGTCTCTGGACTGATTTCTTAAATGCACAAGGTTCCTGGTTTTTCTCTTTGTAGATAATTGTGCGAAAAAGATCTGATTTTTTGCCATCTGTGTATCTCCACGTAACAAGTTGTAAAGGAGTAACGGATGTGACAGTCCTCTAACTTAAGGAT